ATTTGATCCGGCCCCGGTGCTTTCTTTTTGTTAATGCGATCGATTGCAGCTTTTACGTCGCTGGGTTTGATCAATTGATTGGTCGGCACGATTTGTGAAGGGAGGAGCCTGATATCGTTGACCACGCCCTCTATAAATTGTTGCTCGTCGTTATTTTCGATATTATTTGTGAAATTATTCTCAAAATATGTACCGAACGCCTCCCCTTTCTGAGTGTCTGTTGTGTATTGTGTGTTATTGTCTTCCAGTGTGGGAAGCTGCGTAAACGGTTTCTTAAGCCGTTTTGTCATCTTCCACACTGAATTGTCTTGTGGTTTGAGGCCTCGTAATGTGTCCGTCCATTTTTCGTTTTTTAAGTCACGTATTGCTGTGTTGATGGCTTTAGAGATGTCTAAAAGTCTAATTCTGTCGTCCCTATGTCTGTGTCTTTGCCATCTTCTCCGAATGTTGTTTTTGTTCGTGATCATGTCTTCTATTTCCGGTGTTAGTATTTCTTGATGTGCTTTAATGTGTTTTATACGTGTGGAGGCGTCTCTGGCCTTTATAATGGCGTTTGTTAATTTGTCCACTTCTACGTCCAGTTCAGTAGGTGTATTAATGTTGTTATTTATTACTATGTCTTTGTCCAGTATTTCTCTGTATTTCGTCCAGTTTGTTGTTTTGTGATCGTAGTACTGTCCGTTATGTTTTTGTATAGTCCTTCTTGTTCCTATTTCTAGGCAGATAGGGTCATGGTCTGAATTTAATGTGGGTATGGTCCTGAAATTCTGTACGCTGTCTATGTTTTTCGTTATCGCTATGTCTAGAGTACTAGGTGTTTGTCCGGAGAAAGGGAAGCACGTTGGTACATCTGTGTAGTGTATAGTATATCGGTTTGTTTCAGCGAATAAGCTTAGTGTGTTACCATTGGCGTTGTTTTTATTGCAGTTTGCATCCCATTCCGTGTTTTTTGCATTAAAATCCCCTATTATTATTACTTTATTCCCTCTGGCCAAATTATGCAAGTCAATATTATTGAATTTATATAGCGGCTTGTTATATACCCCTACAAAGGTTATACCCCCTACTTTTATGATTGCATGTTCTATGTCCGATAGAACGTTTGATACGGTTTCATATGAAATATTTTGTTTAATAAGGAAAGCCACGCCCCCTTTCGGTAGGTCTAGTCTGTCTTGTCTGTATATGTCGTAGTCGCGCACTTTTATTTTGTGATGTGGTTTTAAATGAGTTTCTATGAGAATTACTATGTCGAATTTATGTTTATAAATGAAGTTGCATACAAGATGTTTCTTGTTTAGCAGCCCGTTTACATTGTAAGAACAGATTTTGTATTTGTCTCGTAATACCGCAGCGAATTTAATTCCTGAATTTATACGTATTTAGATTGTTCATAAAATTGTTGTAAGTTAAGAAAATAGACGCGTCGCTGCGGCATTCCCTAAGTTGTGAGTTAAGCTCCCTTACTGCTCTTGTTAACTCTGCTATGTTCACTAATGAATTTAGTTCTTGCATCTCGTGATTTAGGGCAAAGAAGTCGCCCGTACCTCCCTGGGTGCCTTGTGGTTATAATTCACTGAGAGGGTGAGCTATAAACCACCCGGAGGTGCCTCGGTCGAGTGCGAAAAATCGCTATCGGCCACGACTCCGCCGGTCAATTTATCGTTCAGTCCTCCGTCGGACTGGATTTCGTAAATATCCAGTCCGTGTGAATTATTGTTTAGTATAGTTTGAATTTGTCAGGAGTCCTGTTATTGTCGTCTATATATGCCTAGATTGCTATGAATGCAGCCGTGCTTCCGTCGCACGCCGTCTCCCTGGTGAATTTGGGTGATGCTTTCCCTTAGTTCCACAGGGAGGCATCGCGCGAAGAAGTTTTCAGAGGTTTCAATGATAAAATCTTTGATCATAGGCATATTTGTCGTCCCGTGTATGTCTCGTATTCTAGCATAGCGATCGTAGCCAAGTGCTAGCCTCAGACATCTGTTTTGAGCCCTTTGAAGTGATGCAAATGAAGAGTTAGACATTGAGCAGTATACTGGACAACCATATGTCAGTATCGGCCTAAATATGGTTTTATATAGTAGTAGCTTGTTCGGCAGGGATAGTTTGCTCCGTCTATTCATTAAGGGGTACAACGACCTCAGAATACCGGAGTTTTTACCTACCCTGTCTTTAATGTGGGCCTTAAACAATAGTGTTTTGTCCAACAGAAAACCAAGATATTTCATCTCTGACTTGACAACGATTGGTTGGTTTTGCACCTGAAGGGGCGTGGTTATACCTTGGGCACGCCTTTTTGAGAGCAATAGCGACTCGGTTTTAGTTGTGTTGATTTTCATCTTGTTTTCTGCTAAATAATTCACTAATGTTCCATTAATATGGTTATCCAGCCTGCTGCTCGCTGTTTGTGCTGATTTATGACTGGTGTATATACAGATGTCATCGGCGTACTGCGCCGTTTGCACCCCATTATGTCCCATTGGTAAATCATGGGTCATGATGGTGTACAAATGCGGCGATAGTACAGAGCCCTGTGGTACTCCCGCCATTGCTAGGAAAGGTCCTGTTATTGTAGAATTTATTTTGATGTTGAATTTTCTGTCCGTAAGATATGACAAAATTGTTTTGATAATGTGCTCAGGAAAGTCATTCATAAGCATTTTGTATATTAGTCCTTGGGTCCATACGGTGTCAAAGGCGTTTTCTGAATCAAGCGCCACCAGCACCGTTTGCAGGTCCCGATTAAATGCCTCTTTGGCATGATGTGCAATTCTCAAGACCTGGGCCACGGTGCTGTGCCCCTCTCTGAAACCGTATTGTTCCTTCGGGATAATCTGTATGTGTTGTTCAATTATTTTTAATCGTCGTAATATTATAGTGTCCGTTATTTTGGCGAGTGTGTTAAGTAGTGATATGGGGCGGTAGCTATCAATATTATTCTTCGGTTTTCCCGGTTTTAGAATTGGTATAATATTTGCCATCTTCAGACTACTAGGGTAGTGTTGTAGTCTGAAAATGGCATTTACTATGTGGTAGATCTGCACGATACCTTTCCTGCTGAGGTTTTTTAGCAGTATATTGTTAATGTCGTCCGGTCCCGGAGCTCTTCTGTTTTTGAGATACCTAATTACCTCACATACCTCTCTAGGAGTGGTAAGGCACGAATGGGGCACTGTGAGTGGTTCTATTTGACCGAGAGCGGTAATGATGTTTTCAACTCGCTGTTGTTGAGGGTTGTTAGGCTGATTGTTGACAAATTGAGCTTGAAAGAATTCACCTAGGGCTTGACCTTTGTCTTCGTCTGTCATAAATGTTTCTTGTCCTCGTCTCAGAGTGGGGAGCAGTGAGTAGGGTTTTTTATACCTCTTCACTACTCTCCACAATGAGTTGTCTTGTGGTTTCAACTCTGATAGGGTTGTTTGCCATTTTTTATTTCTATGATTTCTAATCATTTCGTTTATGTTGTTAGCGAGATTTTGCATCATGACCCTATCATCGTTTAACCTGTGCGTCTGCCACCTTTTTCTTAGTCTGTTTTTGTTACTAATTAATTCAGTGATTTCGGGTGGCAGATTGTCATAATGTGCTGTCAGTGTTTTAAGCGTAGTTGTCTCGTTTCTAGCTTTTTGTATTATTTGTATTAATAGTTTTGTTTCTTTTTCTAGTTTTTCTACTGTGTTGATGTTGTTATTTATTGTTATGTATGTGTCTAGTTTGTCTCTATACTGTGTCCAGTTTGTCGATTTGTAATCATAGTATTTTGTGATTTGTCTTTGTATTTTGTTTGTAGTCCAAATCTCCAAGTACACTGGATCGTGATCTGAGTTTAGAGTGGTTATTGTTCGCATATTTCTGATGTCGGGGATATTTTTCACAAGGGCTATATCCAGTGTACTGGGGCTGAAAGTGGGGTTTGTCGGAAAGTATGTAGGTTCTTCTGTGTAGTGGATAATAAGGTCATTTTCCTCGGCGAAGTCTCTCAAGACTCTACCGCTAGCGTTGTAGTACGCACAATGAGAGTCCCATTCCTGATGTTTGGCATTAAGATCCCCTGCCAAAAAAACTCTGTTTCCTTTAGACATTAACCTGTGCAGATCTCTACCTGAAATTGTGATGTTGGGAGGGTTGTATACACCTATGATTGTTAAGTTATTTACCTCTACAATGATATTTTCAAATCTTTCATTTATATTTGCCTTAGGGATTTCTTTGTATTGTAAATCTTTTTTAATAATGATAGCTACCCCCCCAGCGGCGTTTCTGAGGTTGGGTATGTTTCTGTGTTCTCTAAGCGTTGTGTAGTCGTGAATTTTTACTGTATGTGTTGGCTTTAAAAATGTCTCTGTAAGTATGATAATGTCGAATTTATGCTTATGAATGAAATTGCTGACAAGCCCGATCTTGTTCAGCAGCCCGCGCACATTGAAAAAACATATTTTGAGTTTGTTTCTGTTGTTATTGTCGAAATTAGTTGCGTATGTTGTATGAGTCTAAGTTAGTCATGAAATTATTAAACGTCATAAAGTATTGGGGGGTGGAGGTACATTTTCTTAGGGAGGAATTGAGGTCTCGGACGGCTCGGGTAAGGGCGGCTATATTTACCATGCTATTAAGTTCTTGGAACTCTAGGTTGAGTGCCATGAAGTCATCCATTTCGTTTGTTTGGGGGTTGTTTTCTTCATTTGTTCTTCTTGTTTGGGGTTGGGATTGGGGTGGGGGGTTTGCTTTATTATTGTTGGGGAGAGGGGGGAAATCTCGAAGTTCTCTTGGGGTGGGATTTCGATTTTTATCCCATGCGTTTCTTGCCGGTGGAGGAGCTTGTACGTATTTGGTTTTTGGTTTCTGTGCAAGTCTCCTCTCCTCGAGTCTGGTGGCTCTTTCAATGTAGGCCTCGCACTTTGTATAATTTGCCGGGTGTTCTCCGTGGCAATTTGCGCATGTGGCGGGAGTTTCTCTTGTTTTTATACAAGTGTTAGTTAAGTGGTTGCCTGCACATTTCAGACATTTTGGTGGGCGGCCACAATTTGTTGTTGCGTGCCCCACGCTTGACATCTGTGACACTGAATTATTGATTTCACTGCTCTGCGTAGTTCCCATGTTACTCTGGTGTTTTCAATAACCCTGACGTTTTCGTTTAAATAGTCAAGGGTTATTGCGGGATCTGTTACTATAAGGTAGAGTGGTCTGTAGTTCGTGGTCATCAGAAATGTTTCTTTGGCCTCAATCTCGTATGTTTCTCTGAGATCGTCTTCAATGTCTTTTTTGTTCGTGCCCTTTGCCATGCCCCTTAAAACAAATGCGTGGGTCTTATCCGCCTTACTCGTGTAGGTATGGTGTGGTATTTCCGCTTCTTTAATGTTGCTTAATAGTGACCGATAGTCTTCTTCACTTTCGGTAAAAATTACTGTGGTTGCGTTCGTATATTTGATGGAGTACTTACCCTTAAGGATTTCTTTGAGGTCTTTTGTTAGATTTGTATGATTATCTGTACTACCATCAATTACTATGGGCGGAATACTATCTTTAGATTTTGTTTTTGTTTTGTCTGTGTTTCTAGCTTGTTTTTGTGTCTTTGAGCTTCCTTTTATAGGTAGATTGGGGGTTGCTTTCCCTTTTTTGGTGGGGTTGTTCGTGGGCTGTTCTGTTTCGCTCTCACTTTCAGAATCTGAAATTGCCTCAAAACGATTGTTTGTCGTGATAGTTGACGCTGCCTTTTGCTCAAGGAGTTTAATAAAATTTGCTCGAAATTTTTTCGTTTTTTTCGGCAGTTGGAAATCGTCAGTTTCCATGTTTGTTATTGTATCTTGCACCTTTGTTTGGTTTATTGGCGACATGTTTTTCCGTTTGTGTAGTAAGGGAGGTTGTCTGGTGTCTTCCTCGTTGCTTTCTTTCGCGAAGTCGTCTTCACTCGATGTCGCGAGATGTGCCTTCATCCCGAAGTTAAGGACTTTTGCCGTTACCGTGCTAGGCATTCCTAGGGTTTTGTATGCCGACTCGAACTTAGGGAATGCGTCGTGATTACCCGTCGGGGGTTTATCCGCACTTTTATTTGCGTTCGTAGGGGGTAAACCCGCACTATTTTTTTCGCTCGTTTCACTTTTATTTCCGCTCGCACCGGTCTGCACTGTGGGGTTGGGCGCACTACCGGTGTATTGTTGCGTTGGGTCATGAGGGTCGTTTACCGGCACTGTGGGTCGGTTTTCGGGCACTTCGTTACACGAGGGTGGGTTTTCCGCACTGTTTTCGTTATTTATGATCGCGTACCCGTACGCAATGTTAAATGTGTTAATCACGCTCGAGTTTAAGGGCGAATTTTCCGCACTCTCGAAATTTAGGGTAGGATCACTATCAGGGGAGTATCTGGACATCATGGGGCTGCTATGTGGTGATCCTCTTCGTTCTTCCTCTGGTGGGGTGTAAAATGGCGAGTTCTCCCTACTTTTTATCTTGAAATTTTCAATGTTGTTTTTGCGAGATTTTTGGACGTCATTTTTTGGGGTAAGGTGCAAATCGGTCTCATTTGAGCTTTTTCGTCCCCTATCTCTGCTAGTATTTGTGCTAGAGTGTCTTTTCTCTGTTTTCTCCTGACTTTTTTGGGATCTGGATTGAGAGTCTCTGCTGCTTCTTGATGAGCTAGCTTTGGTATCCTTTGGTTTGGGGGTGCTTACATGCTTGTAAGGATGATGTATACTCCTTTTTAACTTTAATGTGAGCGGGCTTCGTGGGCTGATCGAGGATCCAGAGGACCTGCGGCTGTCTGAGTTCCCCAGCTGTGATTGCCGGCTTTCTTCTTCGGCTTTGGCTCTTTTTGAGAAAAGTGTGTCTGACGGTTGTACTGGGATGGTAGTTTCAGTAATTAAGGCTGTGAGGGTGTTATTTGCCCCTTCGGGGCGCAATTTTCGTTACTGAGTCGAAAGGATCGCGAGTTGTTGATGCACCATGCGCCAGGCACTGATTCCGTTTTCCGTGACGAGTTGAGAATTTTAATTTACGTCATTGATGCAACTCGTAATGCAGATTACCCAAAATCTATCGAGTAATTATGTTCTTTGCAACATGCCACATCATTTGTCATCATTTGTAGGATTGTAGATCCAATTTTATGGATTTTAACCTTGTACACTGTCAGTTTTTAGTTCTTCTTTTGTTTGGCTACTAGTATACAAAAGTTTTATCCTTTTTATATAAATTGGAATTTTTGTATTCTTTGTAAAATCCAAACACAATGAAATAAAAAAATGGGTGCATTACACTGTTATATTTTCGTTTATTTTTAAACATATAATAAAAAAAAATTGTTAAATTCCCAATTGCGTTATTGTCTTGAACACGGTTTGACCCTTATGAAAGGACAGCCCGCGCCAAATAACACCGGTATCATGCGATACACCGAGATGCATCGACTTCATTCGGCGCAGGCAGTGGAGTGATGCAATAACGCAATTGCGTTAACGCAATGAGTTGGCGCAATAGAGTGCGCCGGAGTTAGTAGTGTATCAACGCAAAGAATTTTAGTGCGTTACCCATGTCTACTAGCAGTTAAAGGTCAGAAACAAGTAGGACAAGTTACATCTGCGGAGAGGGGCACATTGGTAGCAATGTGTTGCTTTATCAATGCAGCCGGGAACACGATCCCTCCGGTTTTTGTTTTTCCAAGAAAAAGGTTCTTAGATCATATGCTTATCAATGGACCAGAGAACAGTATGGGATTGGCACATAAGTCGGGCTGGATGACAAGGGAAAATTTTGTTGCAACATTAAAACATTTTATCAAATATTCGAAGGCAACCAAGGAAAACCATTATCTGCTTTTACTTGATAATAATGAAAGCCACGTCAATGTAGAAGTCATATCCGTAGCCAAAAAAAAAATGGTGTGCATTGCAGCCATCGTCTGCAACCGCTGGACGTATCTGTGTATGGCCCGTTTAAGGCACGCTACAATGCATCTTCTTTCGCTTGGATGACGTCAAATCCCGGACGAACCATAACCATTTATCACATAGCAGGTTTAGCCAAAACAGCTTTTGATGGTGCAATGTCAAGACAAAACATACTATCAAGATTTCAAAAAACCGGCATTAACCCTTTCAATCCACAATTTTTTTCAGCTGACGATTTTCTAATGTCTGCAGTTACTGACCGACCACAACCAGAACAAATCAATGATGAAGCTGAACTTACGACTTCAACCTCATTTTCACTTACGACTTCTACTACACCTACGGCCTCTACTACACCTACGACTTCTACTATACCTACGACTTCTACACAGAACGACTGTCTTATAACTCCTGAATCCGTGTTGCCATATCCCAAGGCAAAACCTAGAACTGCATCAAATCGGGGGCGCGTAAAAGGGCATACGCGAATTCTAACAGAAACGCCAGAGAAAAAAAACGAAATAAAAATAAAAGGGCTATGAAAAAAGTGGCTACAGTAAAGAGGAATTTTTGTGAAGAGATTAGTCAGAAAAAGATGAAGAAAAAGAAGTCACTGCTAAGCATACCAGAAGACAGTGAAAGCGATGAAGCTAGTAAAGAACTGCAGGATACAGATATTTCTGAATACGATCCAGAAGATGATCGTAGGCCTGAAGATTTTGATCACTCTGCAACTTGTTCTAGAGTTGGAGATTATGTAGTTGTCAAATTCCCTACAAAACGTACCTGTCTGCAATATGTTGGAAACATACAAAATGTAAATGACCAAGGAAATTATGCGAATAATTTCTTGCGCAAGAAAACAGATTCAAACACGTTTTATTACCCGCAGCAAATGGATATTTCAGAAGTTGATCTTTTCGATATAGTTTTGCGTTTGAGTCCTCCGAATAACGTGACTGGTACTAATAGAACACAAAGCTTTTTTAATTTCGATATTGACTTAAACAGTTTTTAAAATCTGAATTAAAATGTCTTTATGATTTGAGTCTCATAAGATACATACATATTTGTATGTTTTAGGAATCCATATTTTTCTTTGTATTCTTATTTCTACTCTTACTTTGACTCTTGTATGCAATTATCTAATAAAAAGTCTTAAAATGTGCAAATCTTTACATTTTCACCTAAAAAACCACAAATAGTCAGTGACCCATTCAGCCCCATTACCTGACCCATACCTCCCACTATAAGGGAGGTCTGGGTCAGATAGCGACTTATGAATTTTTTGTACTTTCTGATGATCCTATGTAATAATAATTAAAAAAATGTTATGCAAATTGATAGTCAAACATTACTAATTACAACTGTCTGACATTAAAGTAATATTTGTTTTATTTTCAAATAATTTATCAAATTTTCTCAAAAATTACCCAAACGTTTCCACCTTCCCCTAGTTGTGATATTACGAATTATATTGGATTTTTTCTAATAGATCTGATGCGATGGTACTGTCATTTTTATTTTATAAATAAATATCAGTCATACACTGAACATAATTCTGAACTGAAAGCCAATTTATTTCTTTTAATATAGTTGCAATACTCATCCTTCTGTTCTTTATTAATAAAATATATAAGGAGCCCAAATATTTTACATGAGCAGGCTTAAGAGGTAGAGGGGCCAATTATTATTGGATAAATTGTTCGAACAAGTTTTTAAACCCTAATCAAAAGGCGATATAAAATGGTTTTAAAAATCAAAGCTTGTGAAAATTATCACATGGTTTAACCTAAGTAATGTCAATACTTCACAAACCAAAAAATTCAACGTCCTAATTCTACAATCGACTTTCGGTCTTTCGTTCCAAGTTAAATCATTTCTCGTTTTTGTTACGCTACGAGATTACCCTTGTGAGCCTTAGTCCCGATAAGGTGGGAACCACCATTTTAGTGTCTCTTGAATTTTTTATGTATATGTTGTAACCACGGTGGACTATAAGGTGCATCAACTCCTATTTAAAAACAAATGAAAACGGCGATAAAACCGATCGTACTTCCTAGCCAAAATCCGCTAGGTTCGCCAGTATCTATCCGGCGAGAAAGTAAATAAAAGATAAAAGTAGGAGCTGCAATTTAAAAAGTGTTGACAGATAAATATTTTTTAAAATCTTAAAATATATAAATCATGGTGGATCGTTGTGCTGTTTTTAATTGTGATTATGGGAGAGAGTCTTCAAAATATTAATAGCAGTTTTATAATGCCAAAAAACAGTTATACAGAATATGGTGCAAATTATTGGTGGTATGAAAATAAACATTAAATCCAAAAGTTCCATTTGTGAAAAAAATTTTAATGCAAATTATGTTAACCGTGAAAAAGTGCTAAGAAATCTACTAGGAAACGTTACTTTTCAAGTAAATATGTTTAATGTCTACGTTTTAAATGATTGTAGGTTATGTAAATAGGTTATTCAACTTTGTCTTTTTTGTAATAAAAATAATTATTAGTATAAAGTTTTACTATATAAATATTTCGTATTATTTATCCTGTCTCCTTGGTAATAATAATGTTATGACTTGGACCCTATTATAATGTGTCCATGATATAAATTTCATATACACAAGGTACCTATTTCTTTTGATATTTTTCTGACCCTGCGAATAAATAAAATCTTTGACTTATTCCTTTTAGCCTGATTATAATGCTAGAAAGTTGTATCTGGTTATAAGAATCAAATAGGATACTATGATAAATTTATTTTACTTGTAGCCTTTTTATTTTTAAGTGTTCAAATATACATTTGTTTAATAATAATCATCCCCAAATGTGTTTTGTTCCAGTTCTTTAAATGTATTTACTAGGTTTTTATAGAAGTACTGATTTTAAATTAATAAAAATTTGAGCTGTAAGAAATATTTAAGATTTTTCAATTCTGTATTTTTCGTATTTTTATATGAGTTAATAATCCCTTTAAGTAAATAAATGTAGTTCGGGGTCGTAGATGTTGGTAATTTGTGTATTGAATAATTTGTACATACACTGGTTAATAATTTAAACAATGTTTTTTCTGATGTACCTAATAATTATTTAAGGTTATCTTGTAGTTGAGGAGTCTAGAAATCCGCATATTCACACCACTCTGAAGTCTAGAATTTGACACAAATATGAAGTTAAAAATAACGATCGTATTACTTGAAAATCTACAGATTTTTTTAAATTTTTAATCGATGTAAAAATTGGTAAATACATGATAAAAAGTAAAAGTTATTTCAAATAATTAAATATAACTTTGCAACTATATGTTACGATTCCAACTATCAGAACTAGCCAGAACAAGAATGGTGCATTTCCAGACCCTTCAATTATAAGATTACCATTATTTAATGTGCAGCGCAAATATTAAAAAAAAAACTACCTAAAAAATGCTGTTCCTGCTTTTATTACTTATGATGGGACTACTTCTCAAAGGAGACAAGAATGTGGAAATTATTTAAAATTAGAAATAAATACAATTTACACATTTCCCATTATTACACTTTTACTTACTTAATTTATTCATTTCTTATATTAACAAATTAAATTAATAATATAGTTCATTATTTAATTGGAACTCATTTTATAATTTTACTAATTATTTTTTTATATTTATTTGTGGAAAATTAAATATTAAATAAAAGCATAAAAATTGTTCTATTAGATAATAGCAGTATTGAAAAAATAAGTAGGAAAATTTCAAATGTATAGTTTCCAGATTTATTATGAGTTTTTCATATTAATGTACTCAATAAGTAGGTTTATTATATTCGCTTGTACACATCACAGTTAGCAGCAGACAATAACAAACCTGACAACACTTCCGATTTCAGAAAAACATTACAACAATTTGTTTTACATTATATATTTCAATAATGTAATATAATAATCATTTATATTTAATTAATGACCAGGT